AGGATTTATCAGAAATTTTGCGCCTTTTTAAAGAATTTCTTTGACTTTTAAACTTAAGATTCTACTAAATTACCCCACAGGATACCTTAAAAAAATCATTACAACGCTCGAAAAAACTCTGCAGCATCCGGAAAAATCAGAAAAAATGCATCGTCAGAAATGTATTTTTATATAAAAGTTTAAAAAAAAGCAAATATACAATAAAATTTCAAAAGAATTTTATTTTTTGACAAAAAAAGGGCATTTATTGTTAGAACAGAGCAGGTGTCCAAAAAGTCAAAGCAGGGAGAAAGGGGCTGGGGAGAAGGGGGAAGGAAAATCAAATTGACTAGTGTGTTACTATGGTAACAGCTGAACACATCAGACAGTGTTTCAGGTACGTGATAGAATAAAAATATAATATCCTAAACACCCACATATCCCATTAAGCCTTATTGGTATGGTATAATTGTATCATCAGATATTTGACTGTCATCTGCAAAGGGTGTATCTCCCAAAGACACTTCATTATATAGTATTATGTATTAAGATGATTATGCAGCTACTCCATGAATGGATATGGAAATTTCTACTTATATTTTTTTTACCTAAAAATAAAATTTTCTTCACATTTATTTCTAATTTTAACTCTTCAAATAAGTGGATGTAAAACTTATCTTTGTACTGTATATTTAAATGTATATAAAATTTAAAAAATTAATTAATTTTAAGTTTTTATAAATATATTTCTAATGTGTTTTACTTAAATATTTCTCTTGTTTTTGATGAATATTTTCAGTGAAAGTTGAGGAGAAAAAGTTAACTTTGATGAAAAGGATTGAAAAAAAACTGAAGATTTTCGTGATAAATTCGAATGTTTAAATGTAATAAATACACGTTTTAATTGGGAAGATATAAATAAAGGGTTTAAGTTAAGATTTATGTAGATTTAAGTAATAAATGTATTTTTTAAAAAATAGTTTGTAATATTGGCACGAGATGGCAGCATCTGTCGATCGCATTTACTTCCCACACAATCACTAAAACGATTATTTAAATAATTTATCTTTAATAAAATTTAATTTAAATAACATTAAAATATACAAAAACAATTAAAAAATATAAAAAAATTTTTTAAATAAAATAAAATAAAAAAAAAAGGAATTTTTTTTACAAATCTCACCCCTACAAACAAGCTTCCGTATTAAAAAATGACAAAGAAATTAAATTATTATTATTATTTTTTTTTAAAATTAGGAAATTATATTTTATAAGTAAAGAATTTTTGCGCAAGGATATATTCAGTTGGAAAGTCACGTAAAGTGTTTATGATTTGCGTGCCACGTCACAATGTTTAAAAATAACATTCGAGCTTCAACTCTCATTGTCGACAACGCCCCCAGTCAATAATTGAAGAGAAAACTTCAGTCGACAGATGAAGAAAAAAATATATAAAAATTCAAGAAAAAAAAAGGAACCGAATTGCTCGGATCTAGTTATAGAAAAATAGATGAACACTTAAAACGGAAAGGTATAAAGCACCCCTTTTTATAAATAGATTGATTGGTTGGTGTCTTTCCAACTCAATTTCTACAAGACAACTCAATACCAACGTATGACATTTCGTGATATTTCACTCATTGTCACGATATATTTATATACACGTATGTATATATACACTGTATAATGCAATTAAACTGTATTTTAAATCCGTTTACACCCCTCTAAAATGCCCTACATTAATTATTATTTTATAGCAATTTAATTGTTTAATTTACACTTAAACTAAGTGTCATATAAGTATAGCCTATATATACACTGTATAATGCTTCTAACACAATTAAACTGTATTTTAAATCCGTTTACTCTCTCTAAAATGACCGTACTAATTATTATTATTATTATTTTATAACAATTTAATTGATTAATTTACACTTAAAAATTAGAAGTGTTTGGTTCTTTAGTTTGTTAATATGGGAATTTATGTTCTAGTGCGGGACAATCTCTCTTATTTTTCGTTATAGAGTATGGAATTTCGCAGTTAATTTACTATTTTAAACTCAATTTTCTTTAAAATAATCAAAATTAATTGTATTTAAGTTGTTTTAATTGTTTTATACGACGTAAATGATTTATTATTTATTTTAATGGTGTTGTCTGTCTATCACGCTCTATTCTTAAAGGCCTTTTCGTTAAGTAAAAAATAAAAATGTAGTTGTGTTATATTATTTATTTATAATTAAATAAAAATTGTTTCGTATTTATGCTTTAAAAACCACATACAATACGTTTTTAACAAAATAAGCAAGGTTTAAGAAGTAAAGTGACGTGAACGTGTCGCGTAGCGTGGCATAGTCTTTCGACGCGCCGCATATGAAATCCGTGAAATCACACTTTAAAAAAGAGTCAAATATTAAATAATANAAATATTTTTTTTCGCTGAATAAAAGCTGAATTAGCATTAAATAATTATTCACTACTATAAATAGATTAATACTGTACAAGCTTTAAGGAATACATCCTGACAGATACCGTGGCGCCATCTGTTAACGTTCAGAGTAAATATTAAAAATATTACAGTTCCATTAATTATCAAACATAATTAACATTATTAAATTAATTGTATTTAATGTAGTTGTGTACTTCAATTAAAAGAAGTTAAATACATTTTAAAATATACTAAATTTTTAAAATAAATTATTAAAATAAAAAATATATACGGTATTTAATCACAGAAAATTGTATATAAACATTTTATATTTTAATAAAAACTATATGCAAAAATTAGTAAATTATCTTTAAAATGTAATTTTATAAATAAGAATTGTAATAAAAATAAAACTCCAAAACACATACTCAAATCTTCAACTTATATAAATATTTTTCTTTTTTATGAATTATTTCTTTATTCTTATTATTAAAAAAACAGGTGTCAAGCATTAATTTTGTATGTTTGTTACTCTATAATTAAAATTTTCTCGTTATTATTATGCTATTAAATTAGCTGAGTGGCGATGTGGAAGCGTATCGTGCTTCCACTAGAAAGGTCCTGATTCAGATCTCTTAGGGAAGGACTGACTCATCACTGTCTTTGAGTAATTAAAACAAGGAAAAACAATAAAAAGTTTCTTTTTTTCAGTTTAAAAAAGAATAAAATAACATTAAATCAACAAAATGGCAAAAGTCAAACTCCTGTTTAATTATTACTGTATCTCACAATTTAATAAATAAATATGATATATTCCTCTTTTTTCTTTCATATTCATATACATATAGAACTGAGAATAGAAATTTGTTGTTTTTAAATATAAAAATACATTAGATAGATTTCAAAGTAATTAATTTTTCTCAATCTTGCAATTTGGAAACTGAGTGACTGTGCTATTGATGTATTCCACACTTTCTTCAATAGAAATGGCTTTAAAAGTTGATGACAATCCTAATTTCAGTGGTTTATTTTTTCCTTTAAAAGTGGTCCTAATAATAAAATAATTAATTTTATAGTGAAAAGTTTATTAAAATATTATACTACAACATGTAATTAATATGTACAGATAAATACATTCATAAAGTTTAGTAAAATATATTAAAGAAATATAAAATTATTAAATTTTTGCTAGTAAATTTTAATATAGTATTTCACGCTAAATTATTCAAAATGTTATAGTTAAGAAAAATATGTCACAAATAATATCAAATGGAAGTAGGCGAATATCACTTTTCTCGAATATTGGAATATTTGTATTATTTAGTTAAATAATATACATATATATAACTATAATAGACCTCCCGATAATACACTCGGTTCTTTTTTGAACGCGCTATTTCATTTTTCTGTAAGAAATCTGCTTCTACTCAAACATTTCATGTCAGCGAGCCAATCATCCAATGTCACAAAATACAGGGTTACTGCTTAAAGTTGTAACAGGCAATATGGTAAGGTAGGGTGCAGTGAAGTAGGCGTGCAGAGCTGTAAGGTGGAATAAATAATAAAGAAATTCAAATGACAATAGTAAAGGGAAAAATACCTTTATTTGATATCTAAACAAATAAAAGTAAAGAGTGGCCAATCTCATTCTCTCGACTCGTACTCCTCTTGTTTTTATGTCTGGAGTACAGCGAAACAAACGATTTATGCTACGCCACAATGACGTGGACGGTTTTCGGCAAAGAATAATCCATGCTTCTACAGAATTGACTCCAGAAGTTTTAAGCATTGATTTCACTTGTATGCTATCAGCACTGATGAAGATTACTATGGAAACAATCCCACAAGGCATTGTTCTGGCTTGCAAGGAAAATTCCCACCTATCGAATATTTGCCACTGCCGCTTAGATTCACTGCTTTCGATAGCCAATAAAGCAATAGAACGTATCTGACGCCAGAACAATAGAATCAATCCGGTGCTCGAAAGTCCGATGGTGCATCTAATTGGTCGATGTGTTAGCTTTTCCAATTGGCTTCTTTTGCATAACCACCAACACTACCGCTTATGATGGAATAATATTCTACATTTCCGCCGAACGTTGGTAGCTATCGCCCATTGCCGCCGCTAGAAATTTGAGGAATCAAGTTTCCAACGGCAATCAACTTGTGGAATAAACTTGCAGAGTCCAGTGGAATCAAGGCTTTACTCGCAGCAGAGCAACAGTGTATCCGTTGAGTACAACTTTGCATTGGAGTAGATGGAAGACATATCGAAAACTTGTTATGATGATGTCGTATTGTTCTGCATTTGTTTAGAGATAACAAGTCAATGCATTTCTTCCCTATTATGATTGTCATTTGGATTACTTCATTGCATTACCTTACCATCTTCTCTGTACTTCGCTCTAGCATCACACTACAACCTACCTTACTATATTGTCTTATCACAAGTTTAAGCGGCATACTTAAAAATAATTTATAAAAAATAACTTCAAATAGTGTTTTAAAAAAAATATCTTGCATTATAATATTTCGAATATATAACGAACTATTCAATTATTAGGGTGACCAAACCAATGAATAACCATTATTCTTACTTTGTTCCAGTCTCCAGATTGAGAACATTTATTTCCATTACATAATAAGGGCATCTTTCGCAGTAATTGTTATCAGTAGAGGTAACTTCACAAGAATTTATACGAGTATAATTTTGGCAAGAATCCTCAATACCCATAACCCTATTTATAAGTTTATCCTCCTTCTTCTTTTTCAAAAGTAATGTTATTTTACGAATGTCTCCCAAATTACGAAAACTTATCAAGAATTCCACATAAGGTCTCGAATTGTATTTGATGCCACTAAATTAAAAAATACATATATATATTTATGATACTTGTGAAATTACTGTAATAATTTATTTTCATATTATGCAATATTGAATCTAACTTACAGTTTGTAAGCGATGATATAATCGGTAGTTCTGAGAGAACCATGCAATTTAACATGTAATTCATCCGTGTTTCTACCATACATCCATATTTTATGAATATCACTGTTGCAAATCACCCTCACGTAATAGTGAATATCTAAATCAGACACATTTTGATTAATTTTAATACAAATTTATGATTTAGAACTAAAATATACTTACGGCAATAAGGAGAAACGGGTGCAGTTTGCATAAAAAGGTTAATAACTGAAGATTTGCTTCTTAATTTTGTACGTAAGATTTCGATTCCCAGTGAGAAACAATATGGATTGCCTCGATTACAGGCACGATTACATTTTCCTCCTTGAAAATTTTCATAGTTATCACATTCGTATCCATAAAATGGACAATCTTTATTATCGAAAGAATCAATAAGATACAGGAAAGCTCGATTATGATTACAATAAACTGAAGCTTGTAAACCTAAAAAATTATAAATTTTATATAAAAATGAATTAGTTAAATCAAGAGATTATTCACTATATTGTTTATTTTGAATGAATTTATGTTTTACTTTATAAAAAGATTCACCAGAAATGTTTATTGGATTGGAATAAAGCATTGAAACACAGAAGAATATAACTGATTACAAATAAAACCATAATTCTGAGGTTTTATATCTCAAGTTTTAGTAGTCTAGAACCTTAATAATTCTAGAGTGATAAGTTTTGAGGAAGGTAAAATTCGAGAAGAGCAAATTCTATATTAAATTAAAACATTTTAAATATTTTATGGCAAATTAAGCACTTAAATCACTTTACAAAAGAAAATTCACTTACTTTCTTGAGTGATTTCTGAACGTCTCTTTCGATTACTCATTATTCTACAACCGGGTTGTTTTCTTCCCCCATTAACATGGAAAGTGATATGTCCGAATGCAAGTTTCAAATGTCCAGCTAAGTATATAATTTTAATAAAATAGATATTTGTTTTATGATAAATTAATTAATGAAAAATTAATTTTTTTATTTATAATTTCAGAAAAATTCAGAAATTTTTCTTCCAAGTTCATAAAAATCTTTATGAATTCAGGCACTTACGTGGCACATCCCACGGAAGGCCTGTTGAGATTACGATCACGATATTTGCAGAGAATATATCAAGATGTACAACAGTATTTACATGCTGATAATCTTTATATGCTGGATCTAAAGCTGCGAATGGAGCAGTCAAGATCAGGATCAATTTTTTAAACAAATTTTGATGTTACTTCAGAATCGATATTTATTTAAAATGTATTAAATTACCTAAAATTCCTCCTAATTCACCTCCAAGTCTCTTGCCAGCATAGCCACATAAATGCGCTCCAAGGCTAAATCCAATTAAGAACACTGATTTTAATGTTATACAGTAAATTTTCTGAAAATTAAGAATACATTTTAATAAATTTACAATTTAAAAAATTATAAATTACATTAAAAAAATCATCATAAAAATCACCTGAAGTAACTGAATAAATAAAGCTAAGAAACTTCCACACATTCTGGTGTTAGCACTTGCATTCATATAATTGACATCCTTCGCCGCTTTTCCCCAATTCATAACAATAACATTACAATTTTCATAGTCTAATAATTTATTTTTTAATGTCTAGAATATATATTTTAAAAATCGGATTAAATAATAATAATAATAATTTAAAAAAGATTCAGATAAATGCTCACCTGCACCCATACCAAACTCCCGTTACCAAACCATCCATGGACGATAAAATAACTAGTTTTTGATGGATCAAAATTGGAATTTTTAACGTCAGATACTTGGAAAGAATTAATTATATTCGCATTATTTCTATTTTGAGGTGTATACAAATAAAAATTTGCATCAGAGCAATAAGAGGGCGGAGTAAATGGTCGATGATTGAAATCAAAAGCAAATGGATAATCTAACGGAAAACATCCACAATCTCCTCGACAATCTTGAGGTACTATTTTATAAAATAATAAAAATCATTTTGTCTTACAGATTAATTAAAATATACAAGAAATATACTCACAAATAGCGTGGCAAATGGCACAATTCAGAACACAGAAAACCCAGAACCACATCGTGGCTGATGACTATCAAGTTACTGATATAATAATAGGTTATATATACTATATTTTTAAATATATGTAATTTTTGAGTTTCAACGTGAATAGAATAACACGTGTCCAATTATTCGGCAATATAGAAGATGATTCATTAATTAATGCTCGTTAATTATGTTATTATACCATTTCTACTATCAAATAAATACTTCTTTGTTTATTTTGTTGCAATCGGATAACGACCCCCTCCCATAGTGTTGGAATAAAAAGATCTAACGACTTTGCACACCTGTGGTTCTAATGAATGTGTTTTTGGCGTATTCAAATTATAAAATTTATATATTCAAGAGAAAAAAATTTATTCGGTAGTTATTCTGTTATATACGTATATAATAGATTTATTTGAAAGCCAATATCAAAACCACTTCAACTTTATTATCACATGTTTTAGACAAAATTACACTCCCCATGCTTTATCACCAATTATTTTAAATAATTAATATATGAAATTTTTTTTAAAACACTATATTAAAAATTACATTATAACAATTGGGTTTTTTTTTAATCTGTTATGACAAATGCTGACATTGAGATAGAAAACGCTCGAAGCTTCTAGGGCTGCCAACTTTCAGAGTACGAATTCTGAATATATTGTGTAAAATCTACTTGAAAAAAGTGAGGAGCAAAACAAAACTTATATTTTTTTATTCCCATGATGATTATAATAATGACGATGATACAGTCGAATGGCAGAGGTTATTAAGGTATCAACCTATTGCTCTGAATCGAATCACGAAAACGATCCCGGAATTTTTTCATAGATTTATGTAGGCTCATATGTCGGGACCGTCCATCATCCTGTCGTTCCAGACGGCCGAGTGGTCAAGGTGACAGCCTACTGCTCGGGGACCCGGAATCGCATCCAGACGGGTCGAAAAAGCCCCAGGAATTTTTCGGATGGTGATCCGTCCGGATATATCACCACCCGGCCGTCCTATTGTGGACAAGGCCGAACGCATAATGGGCTTGCTAAAAGAGGCCCTTTTAGTGCCTACAGGGAGGAAAGAATTTAAAAGAAAACATTTCTGAACAATTGGCAACCCTAGTAGTTCATGTTCCATTTGAGGAGGGATTTGAAAATATTGCGCGTTATTTCGAACAGCATGAAATCTATTTATTACGAAGAATAACAAAGATCTAGCAATTCTTTGATTTAGATAATTGATATCAAAATACTATACCGTAGTTATCAATTGTATGAAGACAAAACTTGTAATCTAACATATGCAAATTGGGATATAATTTCCTACGGTTCTCAATTTCGTTTTTCATTATTTGATTTTGATAGAAATCCTTTTAGGCAAAGATTGTGGTCATAAGAAACTACACACAAGGAAGATTTTATAATGAATTATACTGGGCATAAAATTAGATAAATGTTAAGCTGTTTTCACTTCAGTTATCGTTTACAAATGGCAAATATGCGGAATTAAACTGTTTAACATTTGCCATTTGCAAACGATGAAGAATAATGATGTGTCTTAATAAGTGCTGTAACAAATGACGATGGTATTTATATGAAAAATTTTAAAACAGGTCAGAGATTGAGAATTCAGGTTTTTCTGAATGTAATTATTTTGACCATCTTTATATTTTTAACATTTAAAATTTTCAGTTTAGGTCATTGATAGGAAAATTTATTTACACTTTTGTAGTTATTGAATAAAACACAAAATTTAAAAAAAATCTCATGAAAAATTCATCACGTACATTTTCGCTATGCAGAGTTCTCATTCCTTCAGAAGTCTTGCGACATTTCGATACAATTTTAAATTAGTTTACATATATTTAATATAACAATCTTGTCATAATATGCATCAATTGTCACTGTCTATATAAATATTTATAAGCCACCCTGTAAATATAAGGCAACTTTATTATTTGTTCTATTTCCATACAATTTTGCCAATTCTGTTTATTTCATTTTCTACTGTCAAACCATATTTTCTCATGTTGTTGTGGGTCTTCTATTTCCTATTCCATTAGTGCTTGTGGCAGCCTTTCTTTGTCAATACCATTGGAGATGTTTTCTTCCCTTAATTTCTTGTATTACGTAGCCTACCCTCCTGTGTTTTGTATACCGCCATACAACACTATTTTTTGTAGCATGGGCATCCGCAGGAGGTAAAACGGGGCAGTTGGGCTCCCCGGAATAAAAAGGTATCCAGAAATTACAATCTTAAGTAATTGAGATATTTAATCTTACACCCTCGATCAAGGAACGATTTAATGCAATACTGTATTATAATTCTATAATTTACTTGTAAAAACTCTAAAAAAATGAAAATTATTAGCGTAATTTGTCTCAAGCTTTGCCCTATGGAAAATTTCCTGCCGACGCCATTCTTTGTAGGGCAATGTTATAGATCATCCTTTTGTTTTATTCAGGATATTCCCACTCCACAGTATTAAATTGAACACTCAGATTACTTTCCTCCTCTGTCCAATCCTATTGTCGATATTTGCCGTTGATGTCCTGCAAGACCGATTCCAGTTACTTACAATAGTAATCTATTACTTTTATTCTGTTCCGTTCACTCCAAAATCTCTGCTCTTGGATAGGTTGTTTTTCGTAAATTCATCTCGTGTTTAAAAAAAGTTTAAATAATAATAAATACCTTGTATATTTGTGTTTTCTACGCACATTCAATAGAAAACCGGAAAAGTGCCATTAAAAGTGGGACTGCGACTGGCAATACTGTTGATACGTGAGAACTTAAGACAACGGACCGATAAAATGGCGGCACCTTTCCAATATTGCACAAAGAGCGATGTAGTGTCAGATATTTGACAAAAACCAGTGAACAATCAATGGCACATGAAGGTACAGTAGGAGACTACACTGCATGAACTACGAGTAGAACTCTTGATTACAAAAACAGCCAATTTGTGTAATTCTCTACAGCTGGGGCAACAGTGGATGCCATGGAGAATCTCCACAGAACTGGCTTTTATGGCTGCGAAATTTTCAATCATTTCCTATAGATTCAATTATTTCAATGTGGACAACCATCCAATCTTTTCTGCTTTTCAAGTTTTTAATCATTTTAATTTTAGAAAACTACTTCGCACCTTCTACGGAAGCGGATAAATTCAGAATACGTAATAAATTTGGAAATAAAATTTTTACATATTGTATAAACTCGAGTGTTTTCGCTGGAAATTTCAAAAAGATACGCATTTTGTAATTTCATGCATTAAATCAATTCTGAATGCATCCTTTTGGCTGGTCTGTTAAAAACATTGTATGGACTAGTAACTCCAATATGGCCATCTTATTCCCTTGCTTTTGTACGTAAAACACCATAAATATGACATATTAATGAAATTTCTAGTTTAAAAATGTATATAGTTTTATTTTTTTGAAATTTAAAAATCAAAATCTTGGATGAATCCATGAACTTAATGAATTTCTTCATGATGCAAAATCTCCCTGGTATGATGATGAGAAACTGAATATCATCTGAGTAACCTTTCAGGGATTTGTAATATCATTTAAGGAAAACTATTATAGCAGCGCAGAACATGACAAAGATCTTGACCAAACTGAGCCATTCGTCAGATAATTTAATTAATTAATCATTTCAATAATTTCACAAAGTTTTAAACCTTTTTTTTTTAATTAAAGTTTCGAACTTTTATTTTTCGTTAATTTAACAAAGAACGTTCTGCAACGTTCAACGATCGCAGTTAGACTGTAACGGACTAAATCCGCATTACAATAAGCCAATCAAGAAAGTTTTAATCACTGAAACACTCAAAAAATTTAACGAAAAAAAAACTGTTTTAGTGAAAAGTAAAGCCGTTCCGAGCCCTAAATTTGTATATAGTTCGTAAAATACACAAAAATATTAAGTAAATTTATAATTTGTTCATAATGCATATAATTTTCCTAAATTTCAGGCTGTATTAAAGAATGCATATCACAGAATTACGTAGTGTGTAATTATTCGATGGTGTCTGAGTTAATCAAATCAATTTGTTTTCGTGTTTTATTTAAACAATTTATTACAAAATCAATTTTGACCGAAAGAAATATTCGTTATATCTTTCAAACTGAACAAAATATTTTTTAGTAACAAAAAATTATATTATATATGTATATACATATAATTTGTTTCTCTTTTAAAAATTAAAAATAATATATTCCAAAGATTTACAAAATACAGTTGGACTGATTTGGATATGTTGATTTTTGGCACTATCCCAAAAAATGGTTAGTAAAATATAATCTACTATAACAGCGACTCACGTTCCTTTTTTGTTTTTTCTTTTTTTGTAATTATCGAAAAGCAAAATTTCTTTTTTAGTTCGGTAAAAAAATTATTTCTAAGAGATCTTTAAAATCCGAATTTTGGGGGCAGTTATAAATTTAGCAATTATCTAGTTTAAAAGATCCTCTTCTAAGTACCAAATAATTTTAAAAATAAATTACACGTATGAAACTTCGCGCAATAAAATACAGTTTGTCATGATGGAACACTTGTGGGTTTGCATCTCCATTTTGGCAAAATGGCAGGATGACAGGAAAGACTTTCCATGGATTTTCATCTTCTATTTGCCTAAATCCACATTTTGACTCGCTTCGACTTTTTTTTTTTTTTTAAATGGCAGTGACAAAAAGGCAAAGTCATATTTATCTCAAGTAACACAAATGATAATCCAAGGCACATCTTAATTTTGAGTGCACATATTGTTGTAAAAGATAACTAACTAGAACCAACTTATCACTTCTGGTTACTGTGATGTGTGTAATGTTCGTATTGGTGGAGAATGACCTCCTGGAACTCTGTTGTCTACGCTCCAAAGGTGAGGCCTAGATGCATTTTGCATGTGGGGTGAGTCTCCCGAGGGTGTACTTCTCCACGGTGAGTATGGTAAAGCTGAAAAAACAAACGCTTCGTGAGGTTTAATAAATTATTTTTTGTTACGGAATACAAGATATACTCACAGGTAGATGGGGAATAACTTTCACCGTATGAACGCACGAACACATTTGGCTGTGATGTAGTTAAAATTTGGCTTCTACTATTTAATAAGGAACGATATCCTGTAAGTTAAATAAGAATTCTAAATGTAATGATTAAAATTTACATTTTAAATCAAAAATATTTCAACGGGAGCTTTTACAAACCGATAAAAAGTGCAGCAATTGTGCCGATAATTGAAAGTACTGTTATCATGAAAGACTGATAATTTTCCCATAAAATTTGTGCAGCACTTTTCCATCCTACATTATAAGTTACTGGTGAACATTGAACTGAAAATTAATTTATAATTTTGTATTTTTCAGTAAAATATGGATATATAATTAATAATAAATGATAAATATCTAAAATTATATGTACCACCATCTTTCAGACCAATAAGCTTCAATTTAACTGGAATAATAACCATTTGCTTTGTGAGCGAACAAGAAATTTCCAGATGTAAACTTGCTGTTAATACATCCATCTGCCAAAGACTACTTATGTCCCTTATTGCAACTGGAAACATTAATGTGTATGGATGATTTGAATCAGTTTTTGGCTGATGTATTTCTAGAAGGTTGCTATCGCTGGGAATCACCTGAAAAAATTTCACATTTATGACTGAATAAGAAAATGCTATTTACATTTGCTAACACACATGCAATACATATTCATACCTATTTTCTTATGGAACTGGCAGCAACAAAAAAATATTTTTTAAATTAGTCACTGCATATTTTCAAATCGGAACTCTTAATACTCAAAATTTGCATACATTCTTTTATTGGTAGCTACAGAAAATTCTCCTTTTGAAGATTACTTCTCTGCTCTACTCTTAGTTTTTGTGTTTGAAAGAAAATGCATTTAATCATTGTAAAAATACCTATTATATTTAAAATGTTTTCAATATTTCAAACCTTCAACTAATAGGCCAGGTGATCGAGTGATTAAGGTATAAGCCTACTGGTCTGGGAGACCAGGAATCAAATCTGGGTAATCAAAAAAACCTCAAATTTATCATGGGCAGTCTCTTCTGGATATGTTACACCCATCTCTCACCACCTGGCCACCTCATTATGGCCAAAAGAAGGCCCTTTTAACACTCACAGTACATAGAGTAAGAAAAAACTATCAACTAATAAAATAAGAGTTTCTATTACATAATGGAAACTATATGTTACATTTTAATGATACATGACTTAAAACTGGATTAAATAATAAGGTATTTGGCAAGAAGACCATGAAGTAAGCAATTATTCTATAGCTATGGATAATTTCGGGTTAAATTTGATCTAGACTATAACAATCGTAAATAATTTGGATCAGGGCATGATTTCCTAATCCCTAATGGATAGTGACAATTTCATTTGAATCATACTTGCCTTAATGGACAGAGAACAGCAATTATAATGAGACAATTACAGTTCATTGATGTCCAACTCACAAAAAAAAAAAAAAAATCAATCACTAAATCATCATAATATATTTTACTCTGAACAGAATCTAAAATAAGTGTGTCTTCAACAATGTGAAAACATCAATTTATCAAATGTCAAATGCTTCAGAGATAATTCAAATGATGAAAACAGTAAAGATAGTCAAACTGCAGTCTAAATGTTTGCTTTTTCTGCCAGAAAAAGTAATAATGAAGTTTAGAGTTGAAGTTTTTGATAGTCTTTAACAAATAATCTTTAGATCAAGCATATACTTGACTTCTTATATAGTATTTTCATTTAAAAAGTTCTTGCATATTCACTACTCAAATAATATCTTGTACATATATAGATTCCAATTATTATAAAGTCATGATCAATTTAACTGTCAAACAATTTGTAACAATGTTTATGCAAGCACTTACTTTAAATAAATTAAAATTTAAACAGAATTACTTACAGCAATACATTCTTGTATAGAAGAAATGGCTGAAACTGCAACTGTACCAACAGGTTGTATATTACTTAACACAAGTTCTTCCAGGAAGACATGAAATGCAGGAAAAAATGGGAAGTTTATTGTTTTAGCTGTTGACATTGCAGTAGTTTGAACAGTTTGCCTTCCTGTTTGCTCTAACAGTTGAATATGAAGTATAACTTCAGCATTCAACATGCTGATGTCATGAAATGATGCCTTATTTATGGGCAAAATACCACAATAATATTGTCCTGTTTTAAAAAATATTCATTAAAATTTTGTAAAAAATCAATTAAACAAATTTCATTTATTTACCTTTCTCCCAATCAAAACCAATCATTGTTTGAAATATATCATTGATAGATATGTCAATGCTAGGTTTTACTAATGACAATTCACAATTAAAGGGAAACTGATTTAAAATGAATGATGCACTATTTATAACTTCTTGACTACAGTTTTTACCTGTAATAATATACAAGTATAAAGTTTGATAATTATCAAAACTAAAAAACTTAATCCAAAATATAGTTGTTATTCAAAAATATACCTAACAAATTAGACATCTTTTGATTTGCCTCACTTCTCAGAAGAATGGGGATTATATATGGTTTTTCTCGTGGAACGTTACTGATATGCTTTACTGCAGTTCTATCAATAATGATAACAGAAGCTGGCTTTACATTGACCTAAATAATTTTGTTATATCAGTTTTTTTATAACAGCAAAACAGCACTATTCAATTAAAAAATTACATACCTGTATGTTAGTAACAAGGACATTAGACACATTGTAATGAACTGTATCTGTTCCTACTCTTTGAGCAACTGCAATGCCTGTTGTTGGATGAATAACCATGACGTTATTAGTTGAAAACCAAGAACCATGTTGGCCTGCAAAATTATTATCTTTGAGTAACTTGTGATGTTTAGTATTACAAACATATTAACACTTATAATCATCATATAATTACCTTCTTGAGTTACTAGTGGGCTACTGTAACAAACAATATCACCTATAGTTAAGGAAGTTTCAATTGGATCTATTGCTGTGCCAATAATCATATTTATATAATCAACAAGATGAGGATTGATTGCATCCCAAACCTTTAAAAAATTATTTATCAGAAAGGTAAACAAAAAGCTGGAATTACAAGGGAGAGTTTCAAAATTCAGAGGGATACTATCCAATTGGTATCAGGTTGAGTGTCGATTTTGACGTTTCCTGTGCTCCGAAAGGTTTCAAATTGTTACCTTAAGACAAGGGNAACTGGCAACATCCATGCAAGACCGCTTGAAACAAGAAGAGACCTGTTTTCAGTTGCTCACCAAGTTATGGATGAAAAGAATTTTCACACTAGATTACACTGATATATATATATTATTTATGTATTTACTTTATGAAAATTTTCAGTATGTTTATAATTTTAATTAACATTTATAAATAATTATATTATCAGTATATAAAAAGTTTCTGACTGGATGGCCAAAATAATTAAGGTGTCAGCTTGGGATTCTGAAGGACCCAGGATCAAATCCAGGAATTTTACATAAATGGTCTGTCCTAAATACATCACACCCTGTCCCTAACTATGTAATTATCCAACCATCCATTATGGGCCTAGCTAAATCCACAAAGAGTAGGGAAGAAAGGCAGTCAGTGCCATAAGGTGGAAAGAGCCAAAAATAAAAATTCTGTTGGAAAAACTAAAAACATGTTCAAAACGTTAAATTAAAAAAAAACCATGGAAAAAAATTATGATCAATTCTAGTTAATAGCAAATTCAGTAAACAGATAATAAATTACAGTTACAAGAATAATATAATAAATTATTTTAGCATTAGTAATTATAAGTTATGCTCTGAATTTAAACTTAATGTAGTATATCAACATTATTTTAGGTAACATGTTCCATTTGTCAGTCATCAATATTTAAATATAAATTACTCTTGCAAATTAATCTCAATACAATGATGGTAAATGATTCTAAAACAGTAAAATTCTCATACATCTATCTTTAAAATCTATAATCTGAAAAAGGTTTATATACAGTTTAACTTCAAAATTGTTCTGGTTAGTCATTTTACAGGTAGATATGCTATAAATTAATATTATTAATATTAATTTACAATGATGGAAAAAAGCCAGCAATTTCAACCTAGAAGATTAACTTCAAGTCATTTTAAGTGTCTGAATTCTGTAAATAAGTAACTTCCTAAAAGGAAACTAATAGAAGCTAGCAGAATTCAAGCAAAAAGAATATTACTCATTTGCATATTCACAAATGAGGTGTAAAGGAGTTTCTGCAGTAGCTTCACAAAATTAAGAAAGTTTAACTCAACAAGAATATTACAGTGCAATAACTTAAAACAAAAGCTTCTCTAAATTTAATGCTTTAAGAATTTTACTAAGCTTTAAATTTAAAGACAAATTTCAGATCTAAAGCACAGCAAGACAAAAATACCAATCATTTGAGTTATTTCTCCCAATCATCAAAGAAAAACTATACCCCAATGAATTATTTATTTATTTCATAACAGGCCTATTCTATTCATAAAAAAATCCAACTTTTTGATTATTTTATTTGAAATAATTTCTTTTGTATAATTTTGATTAATTTCAATTATAATAGAATAACTGTCTGTTCATAGTCATTTTCTAAACTTTATTGAATTTATACATTAAAAAAAATTCAGCAACAAGATGTGTAAGTTGCCTGTCAAAAACATTTCAAATTACATGTGGTACCATCTGTTACGATATTTTATTAAAAAAGCTTTTTATATTATTATTGTAAAATAGCAAAAATCTTAATTTTGTGGATAGATATAAGTTTTATAGAAAATTATAAATTAAAATTTGAATAGTTCATTTTTATTTAAAGATATCTGAGGAAAAAAAAAAAAAATTATTTTACCTGCTTGGTCTAAATTTCAAGGATGTATTCAAAGCATTGAACTTTCTTCCAGTATCACTGTGGAAATGAACTTCCATTGTCATAGTAAGTCCTAAAGGAATTACTGGAAGTGGCCAACTGTCAGTTTTGATTATAGTATGAATACCAACAGACAAGTATGAAATTAGTTTAACCTAAAATTTAAAATTATATAAATTATTTTTATAAAATTATGTAAAGGGAATGAACTCATGAACTTACTTCAACAAGAACAGTCAGACATTGCTTAACATCAAAATCTTCATAAGATGTAACAACAACTTGTATGGAGCCTGTTTTTGATCCAGACTTCAACAATCCTGAGTTATCAACTGTTACATCGGGATCTGGCTCAGAACGGAGTGAAAGCAATGCATACGTCACACGAGTAAAGCCATCCCTGTATTAAAAGTATTTCATTTCTATTATTTCTATAAACTTTAAATTCTATAAGTTATGTTTTCTTATTAATGTAAATAATTATTGTACAGATAAAATGTAGGAAATCTATTTAAAACATTTTATATTAAAATGTTTTAAATAGATTTCAGTAAAGTCCTACATTACAAGAGAATTATCTGAAATTAATTTACCAGACAAATTCATCTAAAATTAACAATACAGTAGGAGCATCGATTATCCGACTCAATTGGGGACTGGGGTTGGTCGGATAACTGAAAAAACGGATAACCGAAAAATATGAAAAAATACATTATTAGTATAGTATATTAGTATATCTCATGTAATTAGTATATCGCTATTAACCTACTTTGCGTTGAATTTTCATCGATGTTGTTAAGCCTAACAAAAATTTTTTAAAAATAATAATCGTCGNTATCTGAGAAAAAAAAAAAAATTATTTTACCTGCTTGGTCTAAATTTCAAGGATGTATTCAAAGCATTGAACTTTCTTCCAGTATCACTGTGGAAATGAACTTCCATTGTCATAGTAAGTCCTAAAGGAATTACTGGAAGTGGCCAACTGTCAGTTTTGATTATAGTATGAATACCAACAGACAAGTATGAAATTAGTTTAACCTAAAATTTAAAATTATATAAATTATTTTTATAAAATTATGTAAAGGGAATGAACTCATGAACTTACTTCAACAAGAACAGTCAGACATTGCTTAACATCAAAATCTTCATAAGATGTAACAACAACTTGTATGGAGCCTGTTTTTGATCCAGACTTCAACAATCCTGAGTTATCAACTGTTACATCGGGATCTGGCTCAGAACGGAGTGAAAGCAATGCATACGTCACACGAGTAAAGCCATCCCTGTATTAAAAGTATTTCATTTCTATTATTTCTATAAACTTTAAATTCTATAAGTTATGTTTTCTTATTAATGTAAATAATTATTGTACAGATAAAATGTAGGAAATCTATTTAAAACATTTTATATTAAAATGTTTTAAATAGATTTCAGTAAAGTCCTACATTACAAGAGAATTATCTGAAATTAATTTACCAGACAAATTCATCTAAAATTAACAATACAGTAGGAGCATCGATTATCCGACTCAATTGGGGACTGGGGTTGGTCGGATAACTGAAAAAACGGATAACCGAAAAATATGAAAAAATACATTATTAGTATAGTATATTAGTATATCTCATGTAATTAGTATATCGCTATTAACCTACTTTGCGTTGAATTTTCATCGATGTTGTTAAGCCTAACAAAAATTTTTTAAAAATAATAATCGTCGCTATTGTATCGTTAAAAATTAGAAAATTAAGCCTCATTTAAATACTGGCTCCCTTTCATGGTCAAGCCATGTTGTCAGCTAAAACACGTAAAAATACTATTAAAGTAGCCAAGACATAGCCAAATATTGTAGCGCCACATCACTAGCAGACATTTGAATTTGCCGACTAGAATGGTCGGTTAACCGTTGTGACAGTTAATCGATGCTCTACTGTATTTTAAATGAAATTGTTCAAAGGAGAAAAATAAATACATTCAAAAATTACAAAAATTCTACTCATTAGAGAATGTTCTGCATCATTTACATGTTAAAAGATTAAATGATTTTGTCTTCTCAATGTGAATGACTGTTTGAAAGAAAAAAACCAGAAATGAGACTTCCTATGAAAGCTTTATCCACAAATAAAATATTTTATATTTTTAATTGTGTAAATAGCTAAGAAAATCCAAAAGAAAAATTAAGCCCATCTGGTATGTTTTGGTTTGGTATCAATAATTAAAAAATATATTATGAATAGACCTATTTTCTGTAATTGTGATACTATTAGGGAATACTAAACTAAAGCAAGTGTCAATATCACAAACTGTGTATGAACTGGCAACATCCATGCAAGACCGCTTGAAACAAGAAGAGACCTGTTTTCAGTTGCCCACCAAGTTATGGATATGTGAACAAGTGCATGTATAGTCTTATATTAGAATAAAGTTTAATTCTAAGTTAAAGGACTGCCTCATCACTAATTCATCTGAGAAGCAATCATAGAAGACCAAAATTAGCAAATCACTAAACATTTTTAAATAATATACATTTCCAAAATCTTCACACACTAAAAACTTTATTAAGACTGAAGAATCTTATTACAACGACTGATTGTCTCAAAGAATTTACAAATATTTACATATTTGTTTTATATAAAATTTGATAAATAAAAAACAAACAACAAAACAAAATTATGAAACTTTAGATATTTTTAATTTTGAAAGTTAGACAAAAATTAATATTGCTTCAAAACATTACATTGTCTTATTACAGTTAACTATTAAAATGAACACTGATAAAGCAAATTTTCCTGTTGCCTTGGAAAAATGCCATTGTCACAATGTTCATTTTCATATGATAACATGAACAAGTTTTACCAGAATTTGTTAAACCAAACTGTAAATTACCGCCACACATTATTTTCCAAGAATAATCCTATTTTCAATAGTGGTTACCTTTTACACTTTTTGACATAAATGGCAAAAAGTGGTACTGTAATAAATGACCATTTGAGTAGAATAGATTTTCTTAGAATTTAGTTATTTTTATTTTCCAGAAGAAAATAATAATAATGAATTTTTTAGAGAGATAAAATTTAAAACATATAGAACTTAAGGTTTTTTCTAATGTAAATCAAACTGGAGATACATCAAGATATTCTAGAGCAAAAAATTATTACAGTACAAACCTATTACTTCTTAGTTTCTTCTGCGAGTGTGGTGACATTAGTATCTTGGAATTGTCAATTTCAGGAATTAACAATTCAAGTCTCTCATATATCTAGGAGATTAAATTTAAATCAATTACCAAATGAAAATTGTAGAAATGGGCATTATTATAATTAAAATACCTCTATTTGTACTTCTGCTGATAACTGAGAATTCTGGATTATCTGAGAAAATACGCCTGAAGAAAGTTCTACTGGAGATACATCAAGACGCAATGTGACATGGCCAGCTTGTTTGGCTAGAACTCTCATGGCAAAATTATTCTCATTAGACTGTTGAATATCATTCTATGAGATCATATATAATATTCAATATATTTAAAACTGATTTATTTGATTAATGAAACAAAAAATATTTAAAATATACCTGTTGAAAGACACTTCTCAATTGAACAATATTTTGATTAGATACAGACCAATTGAAATTGAGATTAGGAAATGCACTTCCAAAAGCAAATGGTACCTCTTGTTCAGTAATACCTACAGCATAAACTGGCATCTTGCATAAATAAAATTTGACAATTAGTTAACTTTGAAAACAAAAAATATTTTTGAATTAAGTTTTTTTATATCTAAAAAAATATATTGTTATTAAAAGAAAAATCTAATTATAGTTGTTTCAGAATAAAAATTAAAATTATTTTTTCCCTCAAGAAACTAAACTTAAATAAAAAATATTAATGAAGTTTACTTTAATTTATATTTTAGATTAGACTGTTATATATCACAATCTAAACTAAAAGAATATTTTTTATATACACTAGATATCTGTATATAATATGTGAAAAAGAACAAATTCTCTAAACACCCCAACTTAAAACTTAACTATTAAATTTAGTTTTATATATTTTTAATAGTTCTAACATGTTTTTAAATTATCTGATTCAATAAAAGTACAGTTTTTGCTAATTGTTATCTAATTACTTTCACCACAACATTATCACTTAATTTAATTATTGTTATTAGCATAAGCTAGATGCAAAGTGATTACCTATTGTATTGTTAACTGATTGATCACAATACAAGAATTATTTTCTACTTAATACAATCAACCCTTTAAACCAGTAGTTCTCAACCTTTTTTTTTTTTTTTACCTAAGGACCCCTTTTGCCTCTTAATTTTTTTGTGGACTCCCATAGACATTGCACAGAAAAAAAAACTTACACAGTGGGTGATTGGTTAATGAACATAATCCGTTCCAAGATTTTGTTCGTTATCTGAATTGTTTGTTAACTGATTATTGATTTACTAAAGGTTTTTATGGGAATTTGATTAATTCATTCTGGAGACTCCAAAAATAAAAAAATATATAGTTTTTTTACTACAGTTGACCCCCTATAACACTTGATAATTCCGTTTTATATAAATTCCATGTTGTACGAGTCACTTAGATTTTACAAATACATGAGCCGTTCACAGCCCGGCACACATATTTGTAAAATCTAAGAGACTCGTACAACATGGAATTTATATAAAATGGAATTATCAACAGTGTTATGGGGGGGTCGACTGTACACTTATTTATATGTAATAGTAAAAATACATATATATGCAGTCTTGCATTTTTATTAGTCATGTTTTTTTCAGTTTGTGAGGTTAAAGAATCTGTCCAATGTTGATTGCTTTTCTCTTTTCTTCAGGATTTTTCAGAAGTAATTAATAATATTGTAATTGTAGAGATCCCCAATCTCAGTAACCTTATTCTGGTTTGGATGCCACTTGGATGATCGTTGTTCTGACATCCTCCCACTTCTTCAAAAGATCTTTAGTAGTAGATGTCAACATTGGTCCTCTTTTGTCTTCCTCTTTTTCAAAAGAAAACACACATCACTGAATTTCTTGGTATTCTTCATTTAAGAGTTCTTGGAGTTCTTCTTTTGTCAGAACAGTTTCAGGTTTTATTATGAGCTCTAAAATGCTCTTTATTTCTCAGATGTGATTTTCATTACTCCATTAGCAGCTTGAGACTTCTTGATATATCTTTCATAGCTATAATTGTGCCTACTGTAGACCTGTTCAAGCCATACTGCCTAGCAGCATCAGACATCTTGTGCCCACTTTTTACCTTGGCTATTATCTCTTACTTGGTTTCTATGGTGAGCACAGTTCTTGACACTCCTCTTTTTAGGCTCCATAATATTATCAGTTTCTTTTTTAAATAAAAAGTTCAGAAAAGCACTTACAAAAATTCAGAGAACAGAAATCAACTAGCCACAAAAAATTATTTAAATGCAAGGCCCAAATGAAATTCAAAATTTGGTATTAAAACATTAACAAATATCTAATGGGACAGTTAAACTTTTACCTTTCATAAATAAATACTGATGCAAAACTTAAAAAGTGCCTGTCAGTCTCACGAAGACTATAAAAAATTATTTGTCAGAAAGGTAAACAAAAAGCTGGAATTACAAGGGAGAGTTTCAAAATTCAGAGGGATACTATCCAATTGGTATCAGGTTGAGTGTCGATTTTGACGTTTCCTGTGCTCCGAAAGGTTTCAAATTGTTACCTTAAGACAAGGGAAAACCAATCGGTATTCGTTATTTTCCAGCGCTTCTTTTTAAGTTTGTTCAGTAATTGTTCGTTATCCGATCATAAAAATCTTTCGCGAAAGTGTTCGTTATCTGATTTGTTCACTATCCGAACTGTTTGTTAACTGATTACCCACTGTATTTTGATGGTATAAGATTCTCCTAACAAACCCCGGCTTTATAATCTCTCTTTGACCTTTGTCAATGAGATATATATGTCGTACATGTATTCAATATTTTAAATAATTTACATTTTAACCCTTATGCAAGAAATGAGTAATAAAAAAATTGACAATATATATACTGTAGAAATTTAATTCTCAGTAAAACAATTGTTCTGAAGTAGAATTACACTACAGACCAGTAAATATCACCGTGAACCCCAATTCGGTATTTTTTTCTGTGGACCCCCAGTAATGTTACATGGACCCTGGGTTGAGAACCACTGCTCTAAACATTAGCCATTGAAAAGAGCATAAAAATTAACTGCTGTTTATAGGTGACCATTATTAAAGGTTTGACTGTGTTTACATTTTTAATAATTGACAATTGCAAATGAATTATTATTAAAATTTGGCTGGTAATGACTAAGCAATTATCAGTAAAGTTTCATTTTTTTTTTTTTTTTTTATTTGTGGTTTTAGGCCCCTTACCGCTCAGAGAGCACAAAGAGGCCAAGAAAGTTATTTTAAAGAAGTACTAAAAGAAGTACAAAGATTACGCAAATTAGGAAGGAAGGTTTAGTTTATACGGTTTTGTGTTAGTAAAGTGGAAAAAGTGCTGGCCGCAAACCGAAAAACCGGGAAGGGCGGCCAGCACGAAAAGGTTAAGTTGGCCCGTAGCATGCAGCACTCTGCTCAAAGCAATTTTTAGTTATTGCGAATATTTCTTCGTCTGCCAAGAGCTCGCTTAGTGGAACAGGCCAGGCCATAGCACGCGCGTGAAGGAAGGAAATGAGCCTCCTCTGACAGCGATCATATCTAAAATTATATGTACCACCATCTTTCAGACNTAAAAATTAAAAAATTAAGCCTCATTTAAATACTGGCTCCCTTTCATGGTCAAGCCATGTTGTCAGCTAAAACACGTAAAAATACTATTAAAGTAGCCAAGACATAGCCAAATATTGTAGCGCCACATCACTAGCAGACATTTGAATTTGCCGACTAGAATGGTCGGTTAACCGTTGTGACAGTTAATCGATGCTCTACTGTATTTTAAATGAAATTGTTCAAAGGAGAAAAATAAATACATTCAAAAATTACAAAAATTCTACTCATTAGAGAATGTTCTGCATCATTTACATGTTAAAAGATTAAATGATTTTGTCTTCTCAATGTGAATGACTGTTTGAAAGAAAAAAACCAGAAATGAGACTTCCTATGAAAGCTTTATCCACAAATAAAATATTTTATATTTTTAATTGTGTAAATAGCTAAGAAAATCCAAAAGAAAAATTAAGCCCATCTGGTATGTTTTGGTTTGGTATCAATAATTAACAAATATATTATGAATAGACCTATTTTCTGTAATTGTGATACTATTAGGGAATACTAAACTAAAGCAAGTGTCAATATCACAAACTGTGTATGAACTGGCAACATCCATGCAAGACCGCTTGAAACAAGAAGAGACCTGTTTTCAGTTGCCCACCAAGTTATGGATATGTGAACAAGTGCATGTATAGTCTTATATTAGAATAAAGTTTAATTCTAAGTTAAAGGACTGCCTCATCACTAATTCATCTGAGAAGCAATCATAGAAGACCAAAATTAGCAAATCACTAAACATTTTTAAATAATATACATTTCCAAAATCTTCACACACTAAAAACTTTATTAAGACTGAAGAATCTTATTACAACGACTGATTGTCTCAAAGAATTTACAAATATTTACATATTTGTTTTATATTTAAGGTGTCAGCTTGGGATTCTGAAGGACCCAGGATCAAATCCAGGAATTTTACATAAATGGTCTGTCCTAAATACATCACACCCTGTCCCTAACTATGTAATTATCCAACCATCCATTATGGGCCTAGCTAAATCCACAAAGAGTAGGGAAGAAAGGCAGTCAGTGCCATAAGGTGGAAAGAGCCAAAAATAAAAATTCTGTTGGAAAAACTAAAAACATGTTCAAAACGTTAAATTAAAAAAAAACCATGGAAAAAAATTATGATCAATTCTAGTTAATAGCAAATTCAGTAAACAGATAATAAATTACAGTTACAAGAATAATATAATAAATTATTTTAGCATTAGTAATTATAAGTTATGCTCTGAATTTAAACTTAATGTAGTATATCAACATTATTTTAGGTAACATGTTCCATTTGTCAGTCATCAATATTTAAATATAAATTACTCTTGCAAATTAATCTCAATACAATGATGGTAAATGATTCTAAAACAGTAAAATTCTCATACATCTATCTTTAAAATCTATAATCTGGTTTATATACAGTTTAACTTCAAAATTGTTCTGGTTAGTCATTTTACAGGTAGATATGCTATAAATTAATATTATTAATATTAATTTACAATGATGGAAAAAAGCCAGCAATTTCAACCTAGAAGATTAACTTCAAGTCATTTTAAGTGTCTGAATTCTGTAAATAAGTAACTTCCTAAAAGGAAACTAATAGAAGCTAGCAGAATTCAAGCAAAAAGAATATTACTCATTTGCATATTCACAAATGAGGTGTAAAGGAGTTTCTGCAGTAGCTTCACAAAATTAAGAAAGTTTAACTCAACAAGAATATTACAGTGCAATAACTTAAAACAAAAGCTTCTCTAAATTTAATGCTTTAAGAATTTTACTAAGCTTTAAATTTAAAGACAAATTTCAGATCTAAAGCACAGCAAGACAAAAATACCAATCATTTGAGTTATTTCTCCCAATCATCAAAGAAAAACTATACCCCAATGAATTATTTATTTATTTCATAACAGGCCTATTCTATTCAT